CACACACACACACACACACACACACACACACACACACACACACACACACACACGAAATAAATAAACTTAAAAACGAACAAATAAATAATCACGATGGGTGGGTTAGTCCACGCTGGGTGCACTCTTTAAGCTTTTTTCCACCTCCTACTCCGTCACATAAGTTCTATCTGATTTCACTGTAAAGTCAATAATGTGTAAGAGGCGAGATGTTCATAATAAGCGAACTTCTTAGGCCACCAATAAAGCTCCGTGAAAGGGCTTTACTGGTGAAAGGAGGTGGGCCTGCTGCACCAAACCTATTTTTCTTAATGAAAATGGCAAACTACAGTGGCACTGTGATTTCATCTGATACCCACACACTAAGAATTAAGTTAGAAACAGGAAGTTTGAGCCATGGTTTGTGTGTATTTGTGTATTCAGCTGTCTGCACTTAAATCTAAACCGTGAAGTAGAAACAAGTTATTCATGTAGTCCATAATGCAGACTTTTACCGAAGGAGAAAAAGACTCAGGTGTAAAAGTCCCACTAACCCTTAACCATGTGACGTGCGGCTATTGTTCACACAGCCAGTGACAGTTGCAGCGACCGAACCAGATTAAACTACAAGTACCACCCATCACCACGTCTGTCTCAGGGTGCCAGGTTCGCTGGGCTTGGCGGGAAAAACGTGCACTTCAGGCCCCGCGCCTGCTCTGTGTTTTACACCTCGTATCTGGCAACGCCTGCAGGTCCTCGCATTGCTGTCGTCACTGAGGTCGGGTAGAAGGAGCGAAGATGGCGACTTGCTACGAGAGATACAATTTGTAAGTAGTGTTCATACGGAACAGCGTAGTGTTTCTGTCTGCGGCTTTTCTGCTCACAGCTCCGGTTAAAGACACATAAGACGAGTGGCTGTCCGTGAGAGGTGAAGCAGCTGCGGGGGCTCAGCGGTGCTGGTGGGGTAGATGACACAGCGGCTGAAGTTTGCTGACAGGCTCGGCCGGCGGAGCAGGAACCAGCCAGGTTTCTCTCCACTCTCATTCATAATGAACACTTAGCCAGTGTCGCTGTGTGGAGCCGGCAGCAGCGAGTGTGGCCGTGGGTGAGAGCGCCGACGGGCGCCTTTGGTATTCAGGGAGGCTTCATTCACCCAACGAGCTGCTGCACAGCTGCTCCCTCCGGCTTTAGTGGCACTCCACGGCTGGCAGCTCCTCGACGCGTTTTTAGACGTGCAGGGTTTATATTTACTCGTGAATGTCACTCAGCTGTAAGTGAGCCTAACACTGATAACCGCGGACATGCGACGTTAGCCGTGCGGCAGCTGACAGCTCAGCCCCGGCACACCCTCGATCAAGCCCTTTATTTCAAGTACCCAGCCCTACCGGTCCTGCCTCTGCCTGCAGCGTGTTTTACTTACACGAGTGAAGGTGTTGGGTGCTCCTCAGCCTTTCCCAACACGGAGCAGGTAATGAGGCACAGCTCTGTAGTACGTCACACATGTTAGACAAATGGACCCTCTGAGTTTGGGCCAGTACAGTGAGCACTGGCATAATCTAACTGGGGAAATGCAAAACAAACAAAAACTTTGACAAAGCATCTTTTCAAATAAAGTAAAGACCTAACATTTCTCGGTAATTTGTAAATAATTGTCCAGTTATTGACAATAATGCCAGTTTTTCATTTAACCCTGGAGTGTTTAAGGTGCCTCTGTGTACAAAGAGGTGCTGGGTGCACCTTAACCTGATGCATCCCAGCACTGCGGGCCTGGAAGTGTGATTTAGACCAGTCCACAGTCATGTGTTACTCATCGCACGACTGCTCATTCTAACACTGACAAATGCAAAAGTTGCCTCAGAACAAAACCGGCTGTTTGAAAACTCGTTTCCTGTTTGGTCCACACTGTGGTGGGGGGTCAGAGTTCACCTCCCCCACAGTTAAACTCTGTCTATTTTCTGTGTTTTCCACCATGGGGGTCACGTTCGCCACCTGATTATTGTGTGTGTGTCTTATTGTGCTTCTGATGGCATAGTTTTCAAGGACCACAGATCAAACGTGTCCTGATTCACACTTGGCTGTTGTCCACGCTGTGGCTCCTGGCTGTGGGACCTTATTCGGTCTCTTCTCTTTGTTCTTGGTTTTACACTGACTGTCAGTCACAAAGCATATCTCTGCTTATGGCAGCATTAAGTGACCCTGAAACTTTCTTAAATGTGCGTAGGTGTAGATGCTGTGTTTAAACCGTGGCCTGTTCTGTCCTCAGAACAAACCGGAGCAGCGTCCAGTCTGAACCTGTGTGCTGCTCTGGAGGCTACCTGGGGTCACAAAGCAAACATGACTGCAGATGTGCTCTTCTCTCAGATTTCCATCGTACAGAGTGTGGGTGCTGACAGTCTGCGCTTTAAATAAAATCCTCAATTTAGAAAGTTCACTGAAACATTTCCTAATACCCAGCATGAAATCAATCTTTAGTTTTGATATTTGTATTTAATACTGGTTTATCACAACATTGTGCTCCTGGCATCGTAGGTTTTGGTATCAGTTGAGCTTTTGTTTAAGAGGAAGATGGCTGGAGTTCCTCTGCCAGCCTGTTTGTCATTATTTAATTAATGACAAGGAAAGTGTCCGTCACAGAAAACGAGCATCGGAGCTTTGTAGAGTGAAAGATGACGTCAGACAAGTTGTTTGTTCTCAGCTGACAACGGCAGAAATATTGTGTTTCCAGGAACATGTGACTAAGAAAACCAGCACTAAAGGACCAAAGGGGCCGTTTTTGACATTTCAGTGATCTTTGGTTGTAGTTGAGTGATTGTTTGAAGTATAATCAGCATTAACCGTTCATGCTGTTGAATAATTGACATTATTTGTTGACTAAACACCTCCTGGCTATATTTTCATGCGCGACTGAAAATTTCCTCTTTCCTCCCGTTTCCCTCTCCCAGGCACACGACCCCTGAGAAGTTCTTCATCGAGGCCTGCGATGAGGGTGCCGATGCTGTGCTGGCAATCGACAGGGTCTCGAACGAGATGACCCTCACAGGTAGGCTGTGTTCGAAAGTGCTGAGCATCGCTTATGATCCAAAGACGCTGTCGTTGAGACGTGCCTCAGTTTGGACGTTGTTAGCTAATCACATCTAAAGAACTTTCTGACATTCTCAGACTGTATGAGAATAACAAACTGGGTGTCCTGACACATGATATACATGTTTACAACCTGATTTACACGATTCAAGAGTGTTAGCCTGCATGCAGTAACTACATGTCACTGTTACAGGGATGTAAGAGGCTTAGACGGTGAGCCTTACTGCCCTGTGTGTGCATGCATGTGTACATCAGGACTGCTGTCCAAGCTAAGCTCAGTCACACTCCTGAGCCCGTCCTCAGAGGAAGTAGACGTCTACTGCATAAGATGAACCCTTTTGACACGCTCTGTGCGATCTGTCCATCTTAGTCGTCCCCATATGGGAAGATAAAGGAAACAAGGTGACGTTAAAACTAGTAAAGACCTGTCCAACTGCATTACATGTCCTGAAAACAAGACTGTGCTGCACATTTTTGCAGATTATGTTAAAGAAGCTGCTTTTGGGGTTTTTATGTTTTTGCCTTTCCAGCGTTCCAAACTCTTGTCTGATGTTTTCATTATGGATGTTTAGATATGCTTTTTAATCGTTTGCATTTTCATTTATACTATGAAGCAAGTTCAACACAGCCGGGCTTTCTTTGCTTTAACTGGCTCAACAAAAACCGTTATCAGTTTTCAGTAAATTAACAGTAAAACGCAACAAAGTTACAAAGCATCAGAGGTTAGCACACAGAGCAGTTCAGTAAACATTATATAACCACGTGAGTTGAGCTCTCAGTGCGTTGTTTATTTCTGCTCTGAAACTTTAAACTGGACCCACTTAAACATCATGGGCTGGTTTCCCGTGCAGGATTCGTTCCAGTCTAACCTGCACTTTAACCCGGGACCTCACTGAATTGTCCTCCTGGGTCATGGATCAAAGTCACCTCAGGTTTGTCCTAGTTTGGAGTTCTGTATCTCCTCTCGTGAGTGAAGCCTCGAGCTAAATCAGGTCCACCTGAGGAATTAAGATAAACCTGGTCAGAGCCTGTTGGCCTGAACGTGGATCGTATCAGTGCAAAAGGAATAGTAAACGTGGATTTTCACAAAAGTGTGCACGCTCCCTCTGTGTACTGTGTTGAAAAGTTCAACTAATGATTCCAGGCTTTTCCAGGACTCTGCTCTCTCAGTTTGAAGCAGGACGGCAGGTGAAAGTGGAAATGCACAGACAAACTTTGAGTTGATTCCTGAACACTACAACCACGCTGCTGTCCACAAACATTCTCGACTCTGCTCCGGCTCGTCTAATATCTGGTTCGAGCTCAAATCGTCTTTTTCTAGACTTCAGAGTGGAGACGATTAAATATTCTGTATTATCAGAGTGCTGAAGATAGTTCGTGCTAAATCACCGAGCACTGAACCAAACTGTTGGGTCTGCGCTTCCACAGGCCCCGCTGGTTTACAAACGTGTTCCCGTTAACGAAGCCAGACGAACGGCTCAGCCGGTTTTTCACGTTAGCAAGGGAAGGATCTCAGAGCAGCTTCTGCCCTCAGTGTCAGCCTCTTATTTCTGTGACACAGTTTACACAAACACCCATTGTAACCCCCCCATGGTGTCAGGCACTAGTGTGTATGTGTTTGTAAGTGTGTGTGTGTGTGTGTGTGTGTGTGTGTGTGTGTTTGGGGGTGTTTGTGTGTCCTCCTGCTCACCAAAAGGGTCATAAAGGCAGGAAGTTTACTAAACAAGAAAACAGAAGCCTCACATAGGACGTGCCTGTAATAAGACACTACAGCCTCCCCCGGCTGGGGTCAGAAACACAGGGATGTCTTTGATCATACAGTTTGAACTGAGACTTACAAATTTAAGTACAGTAATGGCAACATTTAACAATTTGACTCTAACACAAATGAGCACTGGAGGTTTTTGCCGTCTTGGCTCTCCAGGTGGTTGTTGTTTAATCATCCGGGTCCAAGCGTGTCCCTGCTCACCTGTCCCCTCACCTGTCCCTGTCCCCTCACCTGTCCCTGTCCCCTCACCTGTCCCTGTCCCCTAACCTGTCCCTGTCCCCTCACCTGTCCCCTCCCTATGAGAAATGGCACTCGTTCTTCTTTCCAGTTGTATTTGAATGTTTCTCCAGGACAGTTTAAGGGTAAGTTAGTTTTGTTATATGAGCACAAACACACATCAAAGTGATCGATTAGTGAAAGCAGGAAAATGATTCGAATGAATATTACGTGACGTTGTTGGGTTGGTCACTTCTTGTCTTGAGCTCCGTGCTTTCCTTTTTGCAAGTTTATCCATGTGATACGTCGAGAATGAGGCGACACTGGAGCGTGAGGGTGATACCACGTGTGGGAGCGGCACAGCAGACGACATTATTGCTGTTTGCTTTCAGTGATACTGTACACCTGCTTATGAAATGGTTTCCTCTGAAGTGTCTTCGGACTTTCACAGGAGTTTTTTGAATGCTTCCCTTTTGCTTTGCCAATTCTCTGATTAAGTCAGGGCTCAAACTCCAGACGCGCACGCACACATGCGCACACTTGCACACAGACACACACACACTCTGCTTCTAAAGGTTGAGGTGAACTTTGTAGAACACCCCTCTGGACTTGTATGTTGTGGTGACTCGAGTACAGCATCCAGCACAGGTGTACTTTGTGTGAATTTAAAGGCCTCTGATGCTTCACGAATGGCCGTCACTTCTTTGTGATGAAGAAGTTTTCTCTTCAGACAAAAGCAGCTGGCCCTTCTGTGTACTCGTCCACAAATACGAACAATATGTTGCAGTGAGCTGAAGCCTTGTGTGCAGGCCCATGTCAGACACTGAGACGGAGGATTCAGAGGAATAAAATCAAACCTTTGTTCCTGTCACAGGTAAAAAGGACGTTCCTCCCTCTGCAGTTACCAGGCCTATCTGTGGCATCATGGGAACTATCCGCCTGGTAGCAGGTATGTAGCACACACGCGCATCACTGCTGTCCGAGCTGCTCTTTGAAGCTGTGCAGTAAAACGCTTCTGCTTCCACCGCAGGGATGTACCTCGTTGTCATCACCAGGAAGAGAAATGTCGGCAGCCTTCTGGGCCACGCTGTGTGGAAGGCTGCGGACTTTGACGTGATCTCTTATAAGAAGACGGTGCTGCATCTGTCTGAGATACAGGTCGGTAAGAATGGATCACTGATCCCGAAGGAAATTCAAATGTGCTGTGGCAAGAAAACATTTATGGAAAAAAAAGAAAAGCTCATTAAAAAGCATACGCTGTACGCTCGTGTGCAGCAAACATTTAGCATGTTCTGTGTTTCTTTTGTTTCTTGTGTTTTTCTTCGGTGCGTGCTCACTCGCTCTGTGTGAGATTAATCCACACGCACGGCTGGTAGCGCAGCCCGTGCTGCTGTCGCCGTAGTCTGCTCATTTTAATAGGACGCCGTGTTCTGAAACAACACCAATAAACTTTTAGTCAGTGTAGGAATAGCAACAGGGACAGACGGTGGTAAGCCAGTAACACTCTTTGTTTCCGTAAGTAGTTTTGCTCTGACATCAGCCCAGCTGTGATGCAGCGATTCAGAAAAACTAAACTGGAGGCGCCCCGAACGCCGTCAGGCTAAAGCAGAGCCTGATTCGATGACCCGACCTGTAAGAGACAGATGTGTGTAGGGCTGCTCAATTAATCGAATTTTAATCACGATTACGATCTGGGCTTTCAACGATCATTAAAAATGACTGAGCCGATTATTAGCCCCTCCCTCATTTATCTGCGACACCTTAAAGGCCGGTCCGTGAAAATATTGTCGGGCATAAACCGTCCGTGGCGCAAAAAAGGTTGAGACCGCTGATTAAGAGGACCCGAGGGAAGCTCGGAAAGCTAAGCAGAAGTTATTTGGAGAGGAGAGTGACTGCTGTTGGTTGAAAAGAGAGGTAAAAAAAAAAAACTTCAGTGGTGTTGCACACTATGTTATATTATTTTTTAAAGTCATTGTCCCTTCAAAGCCGGTCAGAGCAGCACGCTCCGTTTTGTGTAACTATTTTTAAATCCCTGTAGAACCTGAACCGTGTAAGCTAGCGCAGTAATTTGTTTTGCATATGAAACCGGAGGAGTTGTACTTACATCTGATGCCATCAGCTTGTCCTCGGTCACGGTTTCCTTCCACATAAAGCTTTGCAAAAATTGCCTAGAAAGCGCTTGCAGCAACAAAAACATAATATTCCAGAAACAGGCTTTGCCGATCTGATCAGCTGATCGTAACACTTCCTACAGTGAAACAGACGTCAGCGCGAATCATCGCGCATGTCCGCCATTTCCTGGCCGAAACCGGAAGTGACGTCATTTCGCGGAAAATGTTGTTCTTTACTTGTAGGCCTTAAAAGCCTATACTGGTCATGTTTGACTTTTCTGAATAGTTGCTGGGATGCTTAGAACTCGAATTGCACAGCTGGAAATAGTTTTTTTGATGCACCTGCTGTTTTCTTTGCAAATTTGCATCATAGGATTGTTTTTCCGTTTTTCCTGCAGTGTATAAAATTGCTGTATCTCCAAAATAAAACTGAAGACACTCAAAATAAATTTCCTGTTGTAAACTATTTTTTGCAACTTTTTTGTATTTAAAGTTTTGAGGGATAAACCTCTTAAATTTCTCCAAGTAGAAATATATGTAAAAAAACCAAAAACGATTCTCAAATTTAGTAGTTACTATGGACTTAATGCATACATATTATTAAAATATGGGCTATAACAGTTGTATAGCAACTTGAAATGCTCCCACAAATGGCACTACAACATGTAAAAAATTAATATAAGCTCTGGCAGACTTGGTTCTATAGTAGGTCTTAAAGGGTTAAATAAATATCGTCAAATAATCGAGATCTCAATTTCAGTGAAAATAATCGTGATTATCATTTTTGCCATAATCGAGCAGCCCTAGATGTGCGTGTTGTTTTTAAAACGGAGCTGAAATGTCCGTACCTGACAGACTGTGGCGTTTGGCTGGTGAATCGCCTAACAATGTAGAATTTGTGACATGCAGCAAAGTGACCTGTCATGAGCTTTCCTGCCGTCTAAACGTGTCTTTCCTTTCCTAGTCTCAGGAGAATAAGACCTTCCTCTCTATGCTGAACAATGTGCTGACCACGGACGGCTTCTACTTCTGCACCGACTTCGACCTGACGCACACGCTGCAGCGGCTCGCCAACACCAGCCCTGACTTCCAGGAGATGAGTCTGCTTGAGAGGGTGAAACATGTGGTCTTAATAGCTGTTAGCAGCCGATGCACTCAGTGTAACACAGACAGGTGACTTTGAACTGGTCTAGTGGACAATATGAAGGCTCTGTTATGGTTAATAAGAGAGGTAACAAACAGCAGTGTAGCTTCAAGCTGAGACGCAGCTCTGCAGATGTGGCGTTTGCTCTGAGCGAGCAGGTGGGGTGGAGATAAAATGAGCGTGACAGTATGTGAGTGAACATGCAAGGAGCAGTGGTAGTGAAGGCAGGTGAGTTTAAATACCTGTGACACTATCCACTGCAACAGGTGGTGCACAAGAGAGGTGAAGAACAGGGTGCAGGCAGGGTGGAGCGGCTGAAGTCTGGTGTCGGGGTGGTGTGTGAAAGGGAAGGTTTACAACCTGCTGTGATGGCGGATATATGGGACGAAGGAGGATGAAGATGCAGCTGCCAGGCAGGAGGAACAGAGGAAGACCTCAGAGGAGGTTCGTGGATGCAGTGAAGGGTGGAGTGACAGGAGTGTGCTGGGATGGGAGGAGCTAAAGGGAGCAGCTGAAAGAAGATTTCTCAAAATAAAATCTTTTGTTTTTTGCTGTATTTATTGCTCGAGGTTTTTATTTATCGGTCAAGTGTTCACAGTAGCATTTTAGTTATTTTTAAATCGCACATCCTTAATTTGACATTTGTGTCCAACTTAAATGCAACATTAGTGTAAAGTCTTCCTCAGTGTCATGTGTTGATGCTTGTGGTTATTTTCAGGCTGATCAGAGGTTTGTGTGGAACGGGAACCTGCTGAGGGAGCTGGCTGGGCAGCCCGAGGTGACCTGAGCCTCACTTACACTGATGCATGTGTTTGTACTTGTTGTGCTTAATTACTGACCTTCACTGTCTCTCCATAGCTTCACAAGTTTGCCCTTCCCGTCATCCATGGATGTATCCTTTGCACTGAATGTGAAAGTTTTTTTCCTTCATAAAATCGTAAGCGAAGCCTTTTTTCCTTTGACCGACCCGGTTCAGTCATCGTCATGAAACCGTGCCGTATAAACGGGAAGATCTTTGAGTGGATCCTCATATCGAGGAGAAGCTGCTTCCGGGCTGGCGTCAGATACTACGTGAGAGGTAAAACCCTCGGACTTTTCTTAAAGAGCAGCTGTTCTGCTAATTTTCACACCCATTATTTTATTCGTGACCTAGAGGGGCTTTGCATAACCAGTTCAAACTAATCCTTCTTTGTCACGTACTGAGCACTGGCGCATCATCCTCTGTCTAATGTTAGCTGCTTGGCTGTTCCTTATAAACTGTCAGTACGAAGAATGGATCCTTTGTCCAGCCTAAACCCTGGGCTTGAGCTCATAGGGATTACTTGCACATACCTCCTGACCTCATTGTTTCAAACTAATGTGACCAGTGTAACAGTCTGTACTGAGCGGCGGACAGTAATGAAGGGCACCCTGTGTGCCCTGCTGTGTGGCAGTATCACCATGCTGCACCGTGCAGCAGCAGACGGTGCTCCTGAGTGTGGCTGCTGACCGACGGTGTGTGTGTCCACAGGCATCGACTCTGAAGGCCATGCTGCCAACTTTGTGGAGAGTGAGCAGATCGTTTTGTATGAGGGAGCAAAGGCTTCATTTGTGCAGGTAAGTTTCAGGGTTCATCATATCAGCGATGTTTTTACTGTTTGCATCGAGGATCATTTATTAGATGTGTTAGCCCTGCGTCACACTCTGTGCTGCCTCCTATGGCGGCTGGGGCAGAGTCCCGCCCCCTGCGACCCTGCTGAGGACCAGCTGATGAGAACGGATGGTATTTCACAGCGTTTTTTCTTTTTCTTTGAAACAACCAGACACGAGGCTCGATGCCCTTTTACTGGAGTCAGAGACCCAACCTCAGATACAAACCCAAACCTATAATCAGCAAAACCACAAATCATGTAAGCTGATCTTTCTGCGTCCACGTGTTCGTTTCAATCACGTGAAATGGAAATCTTATGCTAACGTAATGGAAATGTTGTACAGATGGACGGCTTCCAGAGGCATTTCGACTCTCAGCTCCTCATCTATGGGAAGCAAACGATTCTGAACCTGGTGAGCCGTCCTCCTTTCCTTAGTCACTTACTGGTAAACAGAAGCACTCAGGAGACCAGTCTGACCAGTCTGTTTGTCTTCTTCCTGCTCAGGTGAATCAGAAGGGCTCAGAGAAGCCACTGGAGCAGGCCTTTGATAGGATGGTGTCTGGCATGAATAATGATATGCTCAAGTAAGTGTCACCCTGTGTTTTTACTGGTCACTGAGTCGCCGTTAGCTTAATCAACCAGGTTCAGCAGTTTGACCTTCCTCATCAAAAGTGTTTGATAAGAAGAGGCTGCCTTATATAAACTATTGTTTTATTGATTAACGACACTGGTGCTGCATCAGTTTTAGTTGTTCTACAAACCTTTTCAGTCAGTGTGCTGTGACAAGCTTTCAACGATTTAGTCTTCGTTTTGTTTCGTAGCAGTCTGCCCTCCAGTTGTCTCCTTTATAATCTACAGTGTGACCCACTCCTGTCCACAGATACATAGCCTTCGACTTCCACAAAGAGTGCAGCCACATGAGGTGGGACCGTCTCCAGATCCTAGTGGATGCTGTTGCTGACAAGCAAGAGGAATACGGGTAACAAAATGAGCAGCTGCTCTTTGCTAATGTCGAGCAGTTCGCTGTGATGACGTGCGTGTGCGTGTGTAGGTACTTCATGGTGAACTCGGAGGGAAAGACGGTGGCCCAGCAGAAAGGCGTATTCCGCAGTAACTGCATGGACTGCCTGGACAGGACCAACGTCATCCAGAGCCTGCTGGCTCGCCGCTCGCTGCAGTCTCAGCTCCAGGTATTTAAGGTCACAGCTGCCAGTCGTACTGTGTGGTGTAATGCTGCAGTGCAGGACGGTGCTACGCTCGCACGTCTGCCCCGTTGGTTTGTAATGGTTTTAGCGTAGAGAGCAGACTGTATGTACATGAAATAAGCTGGTGGACTTGGCCAGTTTGGGAAGGTGCAGTTTCAGAAGAGTCGCACAGGTGTTGTTGCTGTGTCTCCACAGAGGATGGGGGTTCTGAATGTGGGGCAGCGCATTGAAGAGCAGGCCGAGTTTGAAAAGATCTACAAGAACGGTAGGATACTCTGTTAGCACAGCTGCATGTGCAGTGTGATTGGTAGAAACTGTAGCCTCATGTTGTTTTTGTGTGTGTGCTCTCTAACCAGCATGGGCTGACAATGCCAATGCATGCGCTGTACAGTACGCAGGAACTGGAGCCTTAAAAACAGACTTCACAAGGTACCGTAGCATCCACACTGACTAGCATGTACTCAGCCTTGGTTCTGCTGCTCTGATGACTGCTGTTTAACCAGAGTTCATCTCTTTCAGGACAGGGAAGCGGACCAGGTGGGGGCTGCTGATGGACGGCTGGAACTCGATGATCCGTTATTACAAAAACAACTTCTCTGATGGATTCAGACAGGTGTGAAAGCTTTTACACACTTTGTCACTCAAGAAACAAGTTTAGTGTCAGAACAACAGACCATTGGAGTCTTGATTCTGAAAAAGTTTGGACTCTGTGTAGAATATTAACGGTCTAAGGCATCATCTGAGACATCGCTAACTCTGAACTTAGAGATGGCACGATACCACTTTTTTATGTCCGATACCAATATAATAAATTTGGATATTGGCCAATACCGATATGAATCCGATAGGTTTTTTTTTTTTTTTTTTTTTTTTTTTT